GACAGCACGAAGGGAAGAAGCAGAATAGAATTGGATGCTTGAGAAGATTATCATAACATAAAAACTGACAACTCTCTGGCTCTTGAATAACATATTGTATTACACTGAAAAGGGAGGAAAAAGCTATTTCACAAAAAAACCCAATGTGGCTTAGAAATTTTTTGAGGAGGGGAAAGATTTTCAAAAGCCTTTTTAGTGTTCGACAGACTTGAATATTGAAGCTCACAAACAGTGTCTCACGTGCTGCAGTGTGTGTACAGGGGAGTTCATTGCACGGGATGGAAGGAGCTCTCCTGGAGCCCCTTGTTCCAGGGGAACCATCCCTGGTTTGTCTGTGCCTGCCACGGGCACCTTCTGGCTGCAGGGGGGGTTGGAACCAGCCCCTGGGGAGGGTGGGAGGCAGGAAAGGGGGCACAGGGCATCAGCTCTGCAGTGGAAAACAGCTCCCAGCTCAGGGGTCAGAACCACAGAATCTTCTGAGTGGGAAGGGACCCCCAAGGGCCATCAAAGTCCAGCACACAGGACACCCCAAGAGACCCACTGTGTTGTCCAAAGCACAGGTAGTTCCTAAGCTCAGCCCTGTGGGGGCTGGTTCCCATTTTAGCAGCTGGGGTTGCTCCTTGAGAAGGTGCAGGGGATGATTGAAGAGCAGGGCTGGCTGCCTTGCCTCCCCCCTGCCATCCATCCACCACAAGGTCATCTCTGTGCTTGCCCCTTCATGTTTATTTCTGAGCCAATAAAATTCCCATTTGCTCTGGTACATTTTGTAATCCACAGCTTTCAGCCCAGAGATTGATTATCTGTATTCCTAGATAAAATCAAAGTGCAGTACTTTAAACAGATTTCCACTCAATTATTTCCCCCAGACAGCTTAAATGGTGTTGTGAAAGCCCAGATTAACTCAGGAGTGGCCGAGAGGTTCATTTGCCTCCTGGCATTGCTGCATTTCATTTTCAAAGCAATTTTAATGCTGGTTCTTTAATGTCCATCAAACAGGGGGTAATATCTGATATTCACCCTGGAATCTGGGCATGGCATCTGAGCCAGGTGAGTTTAAGGCAGTCAGAGGAACTCTGGATTCCAGAACAAACCAACCCCACACAATGAGTGTGACTTTACTGCACCCTGTGGGATGTGGTCACACGGCCTGGACAGTAACTGTGTCCTTGGCTGAAGCTTCTCCCATTATCCAGAATTCCCTGTGCTCTTTCCACAGGCTGCTGCAGACCAAGGCTGTCACAGCTTACCTGGCTTTGGTCTGGGGATGATCTTTCCAGGTTCTTCCCATCCCATGGGAAATATGGCTGGAGAGCCAAGGCCTTGGTGAAAACCTGCAATTTTAAAATATGTTGGGTGAAAAGTAAAATATGGTTTTGAAGCAGAAATAGAGATTTCCTGGTGGGACCTATTTCCTCTGTGTCCCTCACTGTGGGGCAAGATTGTGTTCAAGGATCTTCTTTTCACCAATTTAAATGTGTGGAAGTGAAATTCTTAAGGATATCAAGAAATAAAAATTAATTTCAAGGGGGCTGTTAGAAATTAGGATTGGAGGAGAACTTGTTATTAGCACTTGTTCTAATATTTCAATTTGAGAGTGGAGAACATTTTTGCACAAGATTTTCTCAATAGAAATATAAATTTAATCCCAGCACAATTTGAAAACACATTAATTGTGAGTTATACAGCAGATGGAGGCTTTAAAACTGTATTATTTTGCTTGATTTATTGATGTTTCATTCAGAATTTTTTTATTTGCCATTTTCTTCTGAGAACATTCAGTGTCACATTGATAAGTGTAAGATTGAAAATTGCCAAGAGAAAAAAAATAGATATATTTAGCCTAAACCAGACATCTGAACTTTTTGATTCATCAGTGTGTTAACATTTATTTTAGTCAGGCTGTCCCCCCCCCCCCCTTATAACACTTCTTGGAATGATCAGTGATTCAAAATATCTCTTCCTTATCCAGTTCTATATGAAACCAGGGCACCATAAGTGAGTTCTTCAGTTCTGGGGAGGCAGTTTTGTAATCCAGAACATTGAGATGCTGGTCAGGGCAAGACACATCCTCCATCTCTTGTGATATTGAAGTGTAAATTGAAACTGTGGCAACAGAGTCCAGTCTCAGTGATAAGAAATTGCAGGTGTGTATAGTATGGGATGGATTCATGCTCACAAACAGATCACAGGTGGATTAGAGAAATAATTGGAAAAGGAACCCATGGCCAGACTCTCCCTGCAGTCAGTCACACCCAGTTCCACTGTCATTGCAGGGAGTTATTGCAGCTGTTCTGACACGGTGCCACTGAGATCAGGAGACTCCAGAAGTTGTAATGGCACCAAAAGAGCTGCTAAAATGTGAGTCATGATGGAGACCAGCCAAAAAGACGCTATGATGCAGGATGATGACATGTCTCCTTGGGGGATGTCTCCTCTTGAGTTGTGCCCCATTCCCTCTGTTCCTTGGAGTGCAGGAGCGCAGGTTGAAGCACACTCTGAACAGCAGCGTGTGGAATAACTGCAGGATTTTGCAGTCTCTGTTAAAGCAGCTGCATCTGTAACTCATTTCATGGAAGTTTTACTACTTTTTTTTTCCTTTTACCATATCATGTTTGAAGCTCAATAAAGATAAACTTCCAATAATGTCAGTATATCATGGCAGATTCAAAGCCCTGCAGCCGAGCCCGTATTCCCCAAAGTGCTGTTTATGAGCTGTGCTGTTTTAATGTAGTGGTAGAAGTAAAACCAAACATTTGGCAGTGTCTGTATTTGCACCCTTGGGACAGGTGATGGAGGAGTTATTTGCTCCAGTCTTTAATCAATTTTAGGTAAGCAGCACGGGTATACCTTGAGCATCCATATTTTCTAATTGGCTCTCTTAAATGTGAAGCCTCCCATAATTCAGCGGAGAGATTTACAGAGGAGGGAGAGGGGGAGCAACCAGCACTCACCAGTTGGTGCTGTGATGGATCTGCTCCAGCAGTGCGAGTGGCAGGGGGGAGCCGTGCTCTGCAGCTCGCTTGCAGATCAAAATGCAAAGCGGGGGTGATTTCCCGGCGCCGCAGATCCCGCCTGTGCCGGCAGCGGGGATGCACCAGCAATATTGATCCTTGGTGGGGCTCAGCCAGTCCGCTCAGCTGGGGCAGGGGGGAGTCTCTGGGCCAGTCAGTTTGTGTTATTCCTACAAGGACTTCTCGTAGGGTTGAACCTGCTTTGTGCACTTGGCTGGGGCGGTGTCTGTGCCATGTCTGCAGAGAGCACTCAGCTGAGCTGCATGATGACTCAAAGGTGAATCTTGTTGTAGGGCTGTGTCCAAAATTATATGGGGCATGGCAATAGAGGAAAAGCATGAGAGAAGAGTGATGGTGAAAAAGGGCTTTACTTTTTTTCTATGCATTCGATCCCCTAAAGCTCTGTAGCCTCAGACTGACCAAAGTCTTGTGCTCACATGCACGAACAACCATGTTTCATGGTGTCCCCTGAAAACCTACAGGTGTTGATTGCAGGACATGAGCCATGGGTGTGTGTCTGGGAGGGAATCTGGAGTCTGGGAAGGGTCCCGTGGCTGCTGAAACCATCCAGAGGAAATGAAACCCAAGCATTCCACAATTGCATTTTGCCTCTGTCTTCAGTGACTCAGTGACAGCAAGTTAACCAGCTGGCAAATCACCCAGGGCCATGTGACATATTTGGATATGCACTAGAATAACAAGGGACATTTGGACATCACCTTTTTGTTTGGATGTTGTCCTTATGTTGGCCATTTCAGGGTAGTTTATTGTATTAAACCATTCAGTAATTTTTTTTTTGTCTTTCTCGTGTTCTGATTAATGGCTTTACTAGATTAATTCCCCCCAGTATTAAACTTTAAAATTATTTAACAACAAAGGCACCTGACCATTAATCAAAATAATGTATTTGTGCTTATCAGTATCGATTACAAGTCCAGTATTGTGTTGTTTATTGCCCAGGGAGGAGAGGGGCTGCCTTTGTCTTCTTTACTCATGATTTATTCTAAATTAGTGTACATGCATGCTGTGATTCCAAGAGCTGGATAATGATCCCTTCCCTATGTGCTGTATTAAATACATAAAGCCAACATTGTGTTTCTGAAGTGCCCAGCTCAGTGAGGCCTTTTCCTTTGGCCTCCAGATGTGCTTACGAGCATTTGCTAATGACAATTTTGTTTAATAAATCCCTGTTGGGATTCTATGTGTTTGCTCTCCCAGCCCTGACCTCACCTCTGGTCTTTTGATGCCCAACAGTCAGCCCGTGGCCATGGCTCCTGCTGCAGTTCTGGTGCTTCAGAACCAACACTCCTGTGTTCTCCTCATTTTCTACTTTATGTGTTGGTGCCAGTCCTGGGCATTTGGCACAACTTGGGAACTTCAGGTGTTTAAGAGCCAGGTTCCTGAAGTGCAGTGAGTCCTCCCAACTCTTTCACTGTGACAGCACCCACAGTGACACCACCCTGTTCGAGGCAGCCTCTTCAGCACATTTTTCTTCACAATCTTCTGCATTTTCAGCAAGCTGGGACACCCTTTGTTAAGATTCAGACTTTATGCACTGATTACTTTTCCTCTGCTACAGCTTAACTTCTCCTGCATGGCTTAACTTTAAAGCCAAGTGAAAGGAAATCCAATAAAGATAAATGAGATGTCTTTAAAGGATCCAGAAGGAAATGTGGGAGCATCAGCAATGAATGTGAAGATACAGTGAGCTGAGAAACTTGAGGATGAAGGGTTCTTTATGAGGTTACATCTGTTCACAAAGGCTTGGAAGTATTTAAGATAAGTAATTGCTTTAGGAGCAACACTTCTTCAAACTCTCCTGGCTGTGTTCCTGTCTGACCCAGGGCTGGTGAGAATGGAGTGGTTTGCAGATGATGCCAAGCAGTGTGCAGGAAGCTCTGACAGAGAACAGTTCAGTTTCCTGTGGAATTCCTCATGGAAAATAGGTTTAATGTGCTTTATGAACAACCAAATCTGTTTACCTTTCAGGTCTCCTGCTGCCAGTGATGACCCGAAGTTTCCACTGTTCTGAAAGACAGGTAAGTCTCTGAACTATTTATTCAAAACTATTTATTCAAAATATTTATTCACCCCAGTGGTGGGATGAGCAGTTGAACATTACCCAGGAATGGTCACCCTCAGATGTATTCTCTGTATTTTAAAGGAGTTAATTCCTTCCAGAATTTGGGATATCACTGTTGGATTCAGTTTGACTGCTCAGGTTCTCTTACACTAAGTGTGTCTGTGGGTGAAGAACGAGAGAGGTGCTTTTTCTTCCTCTCTGGATATTTGAAGCTCTGTGAACAAATGGCCCTGGCTCACAACTACAGGAAACCATGTGGACAAACACTCAATTGGATGAATATTTGCATCTGAGTGGTGCTGTGCCTGGGACACAAAGCAGTTTTATATGCCCAGCTCGTTGCTGTTCCCATTTGCTGCATTGCTCCCGTGGCCTGGCCGGGGGTGGCCTGAGCCCCACCCGAGTTGTTCAAACCAATCCTAAGTGTGTCTGGTCTGAAAATGTCTGAGCTCAGCTGAGGTTGAAGGGGAGTTACCTGGGTGCTCAGTTCCCCAGAGCTGTGCTGGGAAAATCCAGGCACACTTGAGACATTTACGGTGTCAGTGACTGCTGACCCTTGGTTGGCTCTGAGCACACCCTCTGTATTTGTGTCTGGACAGGGCTGGAGGAAGGGGCTGGTTTACAGCAGTGCCAGGGCAATGGGTGTGCCTGGCTTTGGGCAGAACCTTTAAAACAGTCAGATAGAGCATTGCTGAGGAGGGGGTGGCTCCTCTCTTTGGCTCTGCTGAGGGGCTGCAGTTCTCAGGGCCAGGGGTCACACTCCCAGACTTCCAACTGGGGATGGGTGAGACATTCTCTGTTTCACCCCAACTTCACCAGACAGCGAGCTCTTCCAAGCTGTGAATGCAAGGTCAGCATTTTAATTGGTGTTTCATGATTTATCCAAGGAACAGCTAGCCATACCCCTGTGAGCCTTGTTTAAGGAGGAATATTCTGGATTCCAAGGCCAGCTGCCCTGGGAGCAGGCTGTGGGTGACATTTGCAGGTCAGCTGCCCTGGGAGCAGGCTGTGGGTGACATTTGCAGGTCAGCTGCCCCGGGAGCAGGCTGCGGGTGACGTTTCAGGAGTGAGTCACAATGCTCAGGGTCCACCGTGTTTGCTCTCCCGTGGCTCGAACAGCTTGCTCCCTCCTGCTGGTTTGTAATTCCCTGTCCAAACTCCCTATAAATATCCCAAATGCCAGGACTTCTTCCTTTCTTTCTAAGCCTGCTCTGCACTATCTGTTTAATAAGATCTGTGCTTGAGCTGTCATTCCTGATTACACGTTCCCCTCGGTTTATATTGCTTCTTCCCAGTGGTCACCAGCACAAATGTCTCTGTGAATCTTAATGCATTTTCTTTTCTCATAATGTATAAATGCCTGAAAACTGATCAAAACAACCATCCTACTTTGATTGTGTATTTTATTTCTGCTGAAAGGTTCAAATGTAATGAAAATAAAACATTCAATGAGCAAACACAGATTTTCCAGAAGAAACAGGCCCATTTAACTTGCTTTGAAAGATGGATGAACACTATTAGTTTTGATATATTCTATATATATCTCCTCACTTGACAATTGTTATTTAAAGATTCAGTTCTGGGTTATTGCTGCACTTATGTCGTAGAGTCATTTTACACCAACGCACGGATCAGTAACTTAATTATAAATCAGTGGGTTTAAGCCAAATGTAATGGAAATAATGTTTCCTTACCCGGAGTCTGCTGAGTCTCAGATGTGGGGATGATCTGGTGGGGAGGGGGTGTTCCACACGAGGCAGAGCATCCCGAGGTGTGGAGCCTGGGTGAGTTTTGGTCTGGGTTGTGGTTCAGGGCAGTGTTGTGTGAGTCCTGGTGGCAGTGCCTGTGCCAGCATGGGCCTTTCCTGAAGCTGTGGCTCTACCACAGAAGTTTTAATGAACATCTGCCTAAACTGGAGCAAAACAGAGAGCAAAATTAGAGGGAAATTGTAAATGAGGCTGTATACAGAGCTGTTTATTTATACTTATGAAAACTTTGTTAGTCATCTCTAATACCAAGAGTATCTGTGTTTAACAGATATTTTTGATCAACTGTGAGACCGTGTTTGTAACTTGTTAGCCACTTGTGCCATGTCAGGGGATGTCTGAGTTCATTAGCACAGAAAGAGGGGGCCCAAGCAGGAGTTGAAGGGACTGAGGTGGATGCTCTGACTCCATCCCCAGACCTTGTCTCTCTGCCAGCAGATCTGCACCCAGAAAAACACCCCCTGCCTCGCTGGGGCTGCTTCTGAGTAACACTCAGCACTAGTGAGGAGCCATAAATCCAGGTTTGGAGTTATCAAGCAGGGCCTCCAGGGCCTTGCTGAAACTCTTTTCCATTAAAATCCAATGAAAATGAACAATGGAAATCCCAACTTCCTGGTGGTCCCAGACCAGAGGCAGCACATAAGGTGAGGGATGTACAGCACTGGGATTCTTTTGGTCCTCCCTTTGTCTTTGGTTCCTTAGTTGCCAGGTTATTAACTCCCAGTTGAGTGGGGAATGCCCTGCAGGGAGGAGGCAGAGGCTGATGTCTCTGCACCTGAAGGCAGGTGGTGCAGGGCTGTGCCAGGCACATCCCAGGAGATGACAACCTGCAGATGCAAAGCTTCAGCGAGGCTCACCAAAGCCCTCATGGGCTTGGGATGAAGTGGAGGAAGGCTGGAGAGCTGCTGTGCACAGCAGTTCTGAGATGTCTCCTCTGGGAGAGTCAAAAGGGGTGCTGGTATAAAACATTAGAGGATATTATTTTTACACTTCATTCTTTAGCAGACAAAGTGATAGATATTGTTCAGCCTGAGGCCCTTGATGTATACTATTGTTAATATTAATTTTAAATCCTTTCAAAACCATCTTCAGAACGTCTATTAAAATATTTAATTGCAAAGTGCTTTTTTTTGCTTCATCCCTCTCATGTACATTGTTCTTTAGAAAGTGAACTGCTTGTGACTTTGACAGGCAGGCAGGGGAAGTGATCAAAGAGTGTGAGAGGGCAACAGCAGCAAATCCCTGGGAGCCCCACGTCTGGGAGGTTCACTTTGGTTTGCTGGGGGATTTGTAGGACTTGGGAAAGCAACCGATTGCTTGTAATTCAGAATTAGTACCTGAAAGCTCCCAGTTCTCTTTATCGACTGTGGTTGTGGATCTCAGCACACCAGCAGGGGGGGAAGGAGAGGAAATATTCACTGCTCTCCAACCCGACAGGTCCTCTGTGCTGGAGTACCTGCCTGTCACTGACTTCTCATGGGAAATAAATACTGTGTCACACTTCGGGGCTTTCAGAATGTCCCCTCACACCTTTCTCCTAGTTTTTCTCTTTCCACACTGATTGGATTGATTCTAAGAGCTGTGGATGCCCTTGCCTGGAGAATTGAAGAGGTTTAAGAAGCAAAGGGCCTGCGGGTGGTGGCAGAGGGAACTCGAGCAGCTCTGGAGTCAGGGACACGTTGTGCCACGGGAAGGATTGGTGGAGAACTGAAGATGGGTGGGAAATCTGGGAGACATTGACTATGGAATGGCAGAGGTGCTCCTGGAGGAAAGGAAGAAGCAGAGGCAGCAGTTTAGGTGTGATAAGCTCTGGAGAAGGGGACCACAGCAGAGGCAGGGAGTTGGATCCCTTGGGATGATGGTCCTTGGGATTAGAAAGGGCAGGTCCTGAGAGAGAAGGCACACACACAGAGCAGCTGAGCATCCTCTGGGTGAATCCATTCCATCCCCAGGGGAGGCAGGATAGAGCAAACACCGTCAGGGCAGAACCAGGAGCTGCTTTGGACACGAACATCTGAAGTGGTACAAAAGCACTTGACAAGAACTGAAGGTGAAGGCACAGCACAGGCACATAATGGTAAAATCAAGAGCCTCAGGCAGAAAGTGTTGTTTGGTTTAGCAAGTGAGGTAAAAAGCAGAAAGAAATAGTGCTACAAATATGTTGGAAATAAGATCAGAGAGGAAATACGGACCTAGTGGCTGCTTACAGAAGCACTTAAAATGCCTTGATAACATGGTTAATTTTGACCAGAGGGTAGAATAAGGACCAGAACAGAGAACAAACACACAAGAGTTTGTTTGGATCTGCTGTATAGGTCAGGCCACAGGATCTGAGGAAATTCTCCTTAGAATTAGAAAGAATTAATCAAAACTATTTTGGAACAAGGAACAATTATTTTTAATAGCTTGTTGAGCTCAGAGGTGGTCTCAGAACTATCAAAATGCAAATATAGATCCTAAATATAAAAGATAAAAGTACAGTCTAGCGTATTATTGATTAAAAAGCCTAATGAGTTCTTGGAAAGGCTCTGAAATTAATAATGAAAAAAAAAATCAATCCAGAACTCTTGGAAGAGGCAACTAAAATCAAAACAGAACAACCACTATGGATTGGTCAAAAGTGAGTCAGATGAATCTAATTAACTGACCTGGTGGTAAGAGGAGAGCAAATAGTTATAATACACCTTGTATTTCCAGGTAAGACAGGGAGATGTGTCTCAGTGTAGATGCACAAAGAGCTGCTTGAGAAATTAATTTGCCTGAAGATCTGGGAGAACCTTTCCAGGGAGAGTCCCAGAGGGAAATGCCTTGCTCTCCAGTCTCTCCTCTATTTTAATTAGTGATTTGTAGGATGAAGATCTTATAAAAGATACGGATGACACGGAGCAGGGGGGGATCATGGGAACTGTGGGGGTCAGAACTGAAATAAAAAGGAAAAATGGAGATGTTTCTGAAAAGCCCAGGCTGAACTGCAACAATGTGAAGTTTGAAGTGGTGAGGGGGAAAGACAGAAAGGACTCGGGGGTTTGGAGTGGCTGACAAATTAAGCATGAATCAAAAGTGCAAAGCTCTTGTCAAGGAGGGAAACTCTATCTGGAGTGTTGGAACAGAAGGGTCAGTGGCCAGGAGAGCCAGGCCCTTGTCCTGCTCTGCCCTCAGGATGGGCTCTGGGGGGGAGCACTGAAACCCAGAGAGCTCTTCTGCTGCTCTGTCAGGGGGTTGCTTCAACTCATGAGCAGTCTGAGCAAGGAGGCATCTATTTACCATCATTGGAAAATTTGTGACAAGGATTTGATTTACAAAATGATAACGGAATCAGAAGGACTGCCTCTGTGAGGATGTGCAGCATCAAAATGTGCTGCTGCAAACAGGCCCAACAAACCACAAGCAAAACCAGGGAATTGAAACAAAGCTAGTTATTAAAACCTCTTCATTAACTTTAACCTGCTATAACTAATAATTTTTTTACAACCTTAACCTGTCTGTGGCTGCAGTTTTGCTCCGTTCCAAGGTGGCTGCTAACACAATGTACAACCAACAACAAAAATTAGCATCTTGGCAGGGTGATATGAATTCATCCAGAAAATAAAAGGGGTGACATTTGCACCATCTGCTGCAGGTGAATCAGGAGAGGGGAGCAGCTGAGACCTGGAGATGTCAATATTGAGATGCTGCTGGAGGGGAGTGGTGGCCAAAGGGCACAGAGGGTGTGGGCAGGCTGGGCCAGAAGTGTTTCCCAGACATTTCCCTCTGACCTGTCCTTCTTCCTTTCCATGTCTGAGAACCATTAGGGTGCAGTGGTGCTGTAGAAGGTAGAGATGTGGTTCTTCCTTCGGTGTAGCTCTGCAGTGCTTGGAGGGACACATCCCTCAATAAACTGATCAAACACACATTTCCATCTGTGCTCCCAAAAGCTTTCCCGAGCCAAGCTGGCTGGAAATGTCTGTGCTTCCAGCCCAAGCTCAGCCAAGGCCAACTTATATTTACCCATTCTTAGGCACTGTTGTCTCAGGATTCTTCTCCTGTCCCAGGGCTCACCCCTGGTGTGTTTGCAGAGAGCAAACGTTCCCCCCAGAGCTGCCTTTCCTCTGGCTGAACAGCCAAGTCATGTCATGCTCTGTGCTGTCTGTAAGGTACCAGGCTCGATCCTCTCAGCCTTATTTACATGGAATAAAACTTTCCTGCACAGTTGGCACTTCTGATGTCAATGGGACAGTCCCTGGGAGAGGTCACTAATCAATAGGTCTCCTCCAAAGCCCCCAAGGTCAGTAGGAATTTTATTTTTCCATCATTGAACTCTGAATGGAAGCCAGCCAGGGTGGTGATGGGAGGAGCTGGATTTGGAGTTTATAAATGCAGTTCTCACTGACACTGAATTCTTGGGGGTGAGATTGAGCTGGGAGGAAACCAGATGAAGCTTTGGCGTTTTAGTAAGAGCTGCCCAGCTGAGTTTTGTGCAGGATCTGAAAAAAGTTACACCTGCAGATTCCCACAACCCCAGAGCAGCCCTTCTCACAAAAAAAAAAAAAAAAAGATGTTTCAGGTGTGGCTGACACCTTCACCTTGCTTGATCTGTGGGCAGTGTGACGGTGGGGAGAGGCAGAGGGCTGACAGCATCTGCTCTTCCTCTGCAGCACGAGGAGTGATGGAAAATGAGCTGGAAAGCAGAGATGATTCTCCAGCTCTGAGACACAAAGCTCAGAGCAGAGGGCCCTGTTTTTCCAGGGGAGCATCCACAGCAGTGGGGGCAGCTCTTGGCCTCCCTCATCCTCACCCTGGGCCATGGGAGCTTGGCCTCAGCACCTCCAGGGCTCAGAGCACACCCTCATTCCTGGAGAATCCTCCTCCTGTCTGACCCTCTGGAGAGCTGTGCTCCCTCTGCCAGCATGGGAGAAGGGGTGTGTGAAACCTGGCAGTTTGTGAAGTACAGGAAAAATGGGATTTCAGTCAGAAGACTGATGGAAGCAACTTTTAAAGCCCGTTAAACCCTGGGTGCTGACATTTGCAGCAGGGAGCTTCTGGCCTTGATGCTCTGAAGTGGCACTTTTCTTCCTAAACACTGCCTCATGTTTCTGTGCTGAGAGCAGGGTGACAGTTACCTGACCCGAAAACCAAGGGGGAAAAGTAATCTCGTGTGGAATGAAACGTTTTATTTGATTGAAACACTGAAGCCACGAGGTTTCTTATGGTGTTTGGCAGGAACCAAGTGCAGCCTCAGACATGGGGCCCAGCAGGACGAGCCCTCCTCTGCCAGAGCTTGTCCCTGTGCCCGTCCCCCTGGAGACACTGAGCCCACCTTGGGACCTCCTTGTCTGCTCTGCCAGCCCTGGCCTGGGCTGTGCCACAGGAACTGAGCAGCAAGACTTGGATTTGCTGCAGGAAAGCACATGTGGCCTCAGTGGGTGCTGCCCTGGCTGCTGTGGGGTGCTGAGCACCCCTGGGTCCTGCAGTGTCCCACACTGCTCCCAATGGATGGGGCTTTGCAGGTGGGGAGGAACAGTCAGACTTTGTACCTCTGGAAAAACCTGGGAATGACAGGAATTCTCTTGTATTTCCTATTCAGACAGTTCCTTCTCCCTGACTGAGGGCCAGCAGGGCACACCAGGATGGGAAGTTGGTGCAGTGTTTTCCCTGGTTCACTGAACCATTAAAGCAGGTATTGACTTGGACATTATCATAAATTGTTTTATACAGTGAGAGAGCCGGGCAGTGGGGTGGGTGATTGATGGGGAAGGGAATGGGGACTGCTCCAGAGAAACCTGACATCCAGCACAGGATTTATTTTATTCGGTGCTGTTGGGGGTGATATTATTGTTCCTGTTTGTAGTTTCTCCCTGAGGGAGACTGAGGTGTGAGGAGATGTTCATGGAATGCTGGGGCTGGGAATGGGGCAGGGGCTGGGCTGGAGTGAGCTTCTGCTTCCCATGAGAGTCTTCCTGAGAGCACTTCAGGACAGCAGGTGGGATTAAAAACATTTCATAGAATCACAGAATTCCCTGAACTGGGAGGGACCCACAAGGACCATCAGTCCAACCCGTGGTCCTGCCCATGACATCCCAACAATCTCCCCCGTCCCTCAGAGCTCCTGGAGCTCTGGTAGCCTTGGTGCTGTGCCCACTGCCCTGGGGAGCCTGGTCAGTGCCAACCACCCTCTGGGGGAAGAACCTTTCCCTGAGATCCCACCTGAACTGAAGGTTAAACACCAGAGGGTCACTCTGCAGCTCCTGGCAGAGGACATGGGCAGCTGTGCTGGAGCATCCCAATGGTGCTTCCCAATTCCAGACCTTTAGACCTGCACTTCATTTAAAATTGGCCACGTGTTTTGATAAATGTGTCAAACACAGAAATGGGGAAGAGAGAAGTAGGTTGCCAATGTGACCTCCAGCCATTCCTGCCAGTACAAACATCACTTTTTTGGTATCTTTTAAACCATCTTAGGTTCAGCTAAGAAGTGCTTCAATTTATTTGTATGGATTTAATTTTTAAACACTTTCACTTGGAAAAATTACTTCAAATTTTTGATTATTTTCTGTGAAATTTGCTTTTTTCATCTGTCCCATGGTTTAAAAGTTCACTGCTTACTCAAGAGAAAACCACTTTGATGTCATGGAAGTAATGAACACTCTAAAGCCCCTAAATAAAGAGACTTCTGAAAACTTTCAGTTTTGTTCTCAAAATGGCTGATGTCATTTATTTTCCTTCATTCCTTTTTCACTGCTACGAAAAGTACAAAAAGAAAGGGGAGAGCAAACAATACCATGGGAATAACAACTGAAATATTTTTATGGGAATTAATCTATCTCTGTTCTAAAAATGAGCAAGAAAAGCAGAAATAATTCTGTGAAACCAGTAGGAAAAACTCACGTGTCTGTCCCTATCCCTCAGCTGTCAGTACTTGGCAAGGGATGGAGATCCCACACGTGGGATGAAAATGTACAAGTGTGATGAGTATGTCATGAAGGAATACTAAAAGAGGGGAGATTTAGATGAGATAGGAAGAATTTCTTCCCTGTGAGGGTGGGGAGGCCCTGGCACAGGTTGCCCAGAGAAGCTGTGGCTGCCCCATCCCTGGGAGTGTCCAAGGCCAGGCTGGAGGGGGCTTGAAACAACCTGGGCTGGTGGCCATGGCTATCGGGGCATTGGTGGGGTGTCAGCTCTGAGAGATGTTCTGTAGTGAGAAAGCTCAGTGTGGTGGTGGTGGGGCTGGAGAACTTCCTTACAATCTTCCAAGCTGACCTCTTGCAAAT